ATTCTATATATATATGTGTGTGTATATATATATATATATATATATACATACACATATATTTCTATATATTAATTTTATGTGTGTATATATTATTTTAAATAAAAAAATGACTGTCAAAAATATTTTAACGTGTGTTAAACGTGTTAAATCAGACAGACAAAATGTCTGTACAACACAATGACAAAAAGTGTAAGACATAAGCTAACATCAGGCATTTCAACGAATACAATCTTAATACTAATTTTACAGAGCCAACGAATGTTGTAAAAACAATACAATCAAATCTCAAACTCAGGACGTAAATCCGAATGCTGCATGCAAAGTCATTTTAAAGACTACATCTTCCACTTCCTTGCATTGTAAAGTGAGTGATGAACTGTAAAAATGCAATGAAAACAGGCAAACAGAACCATTCAATTTCAGGCGTGCGAAGACTCATCTACGAATATCAAAGTCTCATTCAGCAGATGGCGCCACCTGTGGTAGACAAGTGTCTCACCTGTAACGTTTACGATGAAGCAAAGCATGTCGCCGGCCTGCGAGCCCGCGGTACTGCACGCATACAGGCCCGAGTCCTTAGGGGTGGCATCGCGGATCTGTAGCCACTCCTGATCTATGAGTGTGCGGTTGTCAGGGCCCAGCGAGGAGCCGTCTTTGGTCCAGACGATGGCGGCCACCTCGGGCAGCGGGCAGTTGAGCTTGAGCAGTTCACCCGGGTGCACCGAGCACAGGGTGGGCTTAGAGTTTTGGTTTTTGGTTGGAGGCTCTGCAGAGCGGAGGGGAAAAGAGAGGAGGGCAGGAGGAAAGGGGTGACAGGGTGCACAGAGAAAGAGAAAGAGTGTAAGACGAAGAACACTGCACCAAAATAACATCCCTAGAGTGACTAGTGTGGAGAAGAGGCTTCAATTAAATGAATAGTTCACCCAAAAGTCAAAATATCCCAAATACAGACACCTCAGAGTGTCCCATTAGCTGTGAATTGTGAATACAGAGTGTTTCTGGAAGCATGCAGCTGTACCGGTGGGAAAAAGTGTGGCATTAGCAGTGCGCTGACGTGAAAGAGGTGCCAGTCAAGAAACAGAGCTCAATATTTGTTCATTTCATAAACAGAGCCTTCGGTTTTCCTTTCCCTGTCATTTCAACCTCGACCTCACGCATTAGAATTAAGCCCGTTATTGCCGGTTTATTCCATTATCTTTAATTATGCTCTACAATAAATATATTGGCTAGCCAAACGCTCATAAGGAATGCCAACTGGCCTCAAAGTGAGGCACCTAAATGAGGAAAATCAGAGGCTTGATTTCAGATTGAAATAAGGTGGTATGAGCATTAAGGAGAAAAAAAAAATGTAAGATGCAAGAGCGCCCAATATAAAATATTTAGTTTGCAATATATTCTATAATATAATGTTTTATCTATTCAATTATAAATTCTATAGTACATACTTGTAATTGTAATTATATATATATATATATATATATATATATATACACTATAAAATATATTTCC